CCCTAATTTTTTTTTTTTTTTTTTTTTTTTTTAAGTTGAAATAGACAACCCTACATGATAAAAATAAAAATTGATTCATGTTGAAAAATATAATAATAATAAATAAATAAAAAAAAGGCAATAGCCAGCCATTTTAGATGAATGAAAAGTGAGAGTACCACAAAGCTAGTTTTTCCAATATGGCAATCACCAAGCAAACTGATCTTGAGGTTAACCAAATCAGAGTCTGAGGGGGTGATGATGGGGTGGGCATGCATGGGGGGGCAGCCACCGTGGGCGGTGGCCGGAGGTGGCGGGGCGGAGGGAGGTTCAGGGAGGGGCAGCCTGAGGTAAGGGCTTGGAAGGTAGCAAAGAAGGATTCTGTCCCAAATGAAACGGCCAAGAAAGGAGAGCCTGTGGAAGAGATTGCAGTGGACGTTGACTTGATGGACCATTGTGTGGCATAGTTCAGCTGTTCTTCTTCTGCTCTTCCCAATCATTTTCGCCATCAACACTTGCCCTTTGCTTCTTCTTCTTCTTCTTCTTCTTTGCCTTTTCTCAATGCTCATCCCTCCATTGCTTCTGCCTTTACTTTCGTATTGGTCCCATCAACCGCGCATAAATTCTCGTGCATTCAATATCTTAAACTTACCCCTTATAAACTACTCGCTAAAATGTTTTTCTTTTTTTCATTGGTTTTGCTTTTTAATCCTATGTTTAAAATAGTTTTTTTTTAAATTTTATATTTGCATTTTTTTTTTAAATAAATGAATATAACTCTATATATATAAATAGATAATATATATAGATAGATAGATAAAAAGAAATATAGACAGTGAGTTAGTTGGTTGAATATGTATGTGATAAATTGAATTTTTTTTTTTTGACACCTCTTAAAGGGAATAAAGCTTTTGTCGTAGCTTTTTCTTTTAATATTCGGAGAACTAACATGAAATAGATCAAACTTCTTAACACCTTAATCCGAAAATTTCCTTATAATGCTTTGTAGTAAAAGTTTTGCCACTCCGTTATTTGGTGTACTTTTATTAGTCTATATTAAAAAAAAAAAAAACTTAGAGGAAGCCAGGCATTGCATATATACATGTGAGATTTTGATGTTTACATATAACTTAAGACTGTTTAATTTTCCATTTTTTCTTTTCATTCTTAACTATTACAACTACAAATTGTTCTTTAAATTAACTTTACAGAATTTAATTCATTTAGTTTAATATTATAAAAGTACATAACATTTTTCAATACCAAACAATCTATTAAAAAAATCTATTTTCTAATATTACAGGACCACAAACAGACGAAAACGCCACTTTCAAAGGGGCAGTTGACTAATATTTCCATAAGACTCCAAAGGGTCCAAGTGCCGGCTAGAGAGTGAGGTGTGATCATAGGGACATTTTAGCAAATTTATATATGATTTTTTAATTAATAAAAATTATAATGACAGAAAATTTTAAATATTTTTTTGCATAATACTCCAACTTTGTCATTAAATAATTGCTAGTAGTTCTAAATTTACGTGAGTTAATTTTCTAAAATCATGTATCAAGGTATGTATATTTAAGATTCAAGGATGATACATTATCATCATAAAGAATTTTCACACAATGAATTGATTAAAAACTATTATTTGCATGATATTTTAGATAATTATTGTAAAAGTTAAAACGTTATTTATTTATAATAAATTATGATTTGTTAATGTGTAAAACTGTTTTATATTGTGAAAGTATCATCATTAAACCTATTTATTTATATATGTTTAACGTGTCTTTGTCGACATCCTGCTAAACATCTTGTTTGTGATCTGCTTTTAAGATATAAAAAAGAAAGTAAAAAATAATTAAGAAAAGGAAAAAAGAGTACATGTTTATGATAACAAGGAATTTATCCCCTGGATCTGGAAAGTGTGCTGCTGCTTCTTTTATTGTGTTTGAATCCTCATGAAATCAACATACGATGCTTATCAATGGGAAAAAGTTTTATGCAAATTCTGATTTTGATATATCACAAAGAAAGAGATATGAAAAGAAAAAATAAATCTTATCAATCAAGTTCATTATACACATGTATAGATAGAGTTGTTTTTTTTTTTATTTAAAAAAGAAGATATTATTTAATGATGTGTTGTTATATCGTGTAATCAAGTGTTTTAAATTTTGATCGGTGTGGATGAAGAAAACTTTATAAGGGAGAGACAACTCACTTATGAGTAGCAACAGATTCTTCTATTAAAGTTAAAAATTTCTAAAACTATATTTTTTTTATAATTATATGTGAAAAAATATTATGTTATAAATTTTATCTGATTATGTTATAAAAGATTAGACCTTTTTAATGCTAAAAAGTATAATAGAATAAACTATCAATTTAATCTCTAAATTATTATTTTCTCATAAATAGTCTTTAAAGTAAGTAATTTTTTAAGTATTAGAAATCAAATTAAACAGTCCTCTGAGTATAAAAAAAACTTTCAAACTAGTCTTTGAATGATAATAAAATATATCAAGGTAGGATTAAATTGAAAGATATTTAATATTTTAAGAATTATTTATATAAGTTTATTATTTTAATGATTATTTATGAAGTAATGTAATACATGAGAGTAGAGATGATAAAATGAATCAGATTAATTCATTTAGGTTTAGCATGTTATTGGCTTTGGCTTGTCATTGACCTATCAAAAATGAATCGAGTAGACATTAGCTTGCTTGTCAAAAATAGACTAGAAATCTTGGTCTCCTCAATTAAAGGAGGTTCGGGTGTTGGCAAACCGATCCGTCAAAAAATAAAAAGAGAGAGAAAGAGAAAAGAAAATGAAAAAAATGCATATATAATTTTAGTTACTCTTCCAACATATTTTTTTTCTCGATATTTAAAAAAATTTATATAAATAAATATATCCAAAATAATTAAAAATCTCAAATTACAACTAATTTGATTTGATTTGTTATACAACAAATTTGAAGTTTATTGTATAACAAAATAGATATATAATTATAATAATATTTATAACTTTTGTAAAATATTTATTGTACAACAAATCTCAAATTATATATAATAAAATAATTAAATCCATAACAAATAATAAATTATATAGAAATTCTAAATTTGAAGTAATTTAACTAAACTTACAATAAAAATAATAAATAAACAAAAATACTTAAAAATAAATAAATAGATAGACTCTTACCCATCATGTCAAGTGGGCTAGCAAACTAGGATACTAGACTAACCCTTCAATTTTTAAGAGGTTAGTAGGTCATAGTTTGTTTTAGCACTCTATATATGAGAGATCACGTTGAGGGTTTATTCAATTATAATTTATTAATTATTATTGTTAATTAAAAAAAAATTTAATATATTTATTCACAAGTCAAATATCATTATTTTTGTATAAAAAAAAAAAACAATTGAGAACATGTCTGTATTTTATGATTGTTATTTTTTTTCTCTAAAAGTAAACATATGTACACCATAAAAATAATCTTGGTCGAATTGGATAAGAATATTTTCAGTTACAAAATTTTCTCTCTAATTATTTAATAGAGTTATATACTCAAAATTCAAATTTAAAATCAGTACTTAAACTAAAATAATTTTAGAACTAACGGAGTTTGTTTAATAATAAGAGTTAAGATAATATAAAAAAAAAGTTATAAATTATTAATCAAAAGATCTTATTTTCAAAAATTGTTGTCGTTATAATTTTTATTTATAAAACATCGTAAAATAATCTTAGCCCAATTAACCATATTAGAATTCTAGTGCTTTACTAATCACACTTTAGGAATAGTGTAGGCTAATTTTTATTTTTTATAGTTTCAAACTTGTTAGAAAAAAATAGTTGAGTGGTAGATCTGACAGCTTTTTAAGTTAATAAAAGCTTTTAAGATACTTAAAATGCGAATATTCTTTACTCAAATGTAAATATAAAAATTAAGATTAAAGATATCCCTTATGAGTGGGAATGAGTTATTAAAAAAAAGTTTCAATAAATGAAAAGGCTGCTGTGAGCCTGCAGCACTCAGTTGGTAAAGAACTTAAAAAATAGAGAACATGCATGCATGTCCAAATTTCATAGGCTTGCTCTAATCATCCCTTAACTTACATAATAAGCCTTTATAGATGCCATTATTTGATACACCCACATTAAGCAAATATTTTTATACCTTAGCTAGTTAGCTACTATAGGCCATGAAAAAAAAAACTAAGAACATTTATTATATAGATTAAGTGTATAGATTTTTACAAAATTTAAAAATCATTTCATGTTTCATTTTTTAATTTAACTAAAATTTATTATAACTATGAGTTATTAGTTTCTAAGTAATTACATCTGTTCCGGTCAAGGGGTGTGCTAGGGTTTTGTCTTAGGTTGAACCTCCAAGCCAGAGCATTTAAAAGTGTCATCTGTCTTCTCAACTCTAGAGTTTTGGATTTTATGGCATGTCGTTCATGGGCCTATTGGGCCCCGAGAATAGAGGGATTCTGTTAACCGTATTTATCTGCAAGATATTTGATGGAGGACGTTTTCGATATAGGGATTAGTCGCTCGATACCCGAACGACTGGTACCATCAGAATTTTAACGAGAGCCAAGTCGGACGGATCAGTCGGTAGTCCATCGGGTCTACGGGGCAAGGTGGTAAGGGCGACTGTCCCAGGGTCATCTCGCGACCAGGCCGAGAATACGTCTCGGCATTTAGCCGAGACGGTACACTTGCCTTCCAGCCTTGAGCCTATTAGGCGAAAAGGCTAGAGCGACAGTTCCTGGGCCATCTCGTAACCAGGCCGAGAGTACGTCTCGGCATTTAGCCGAGACGGTACACTTGCCTTCCAGCCTTGAGCCTATTAGGCAGAAAGGCTAGAGCGACAGTTCCTGGGCCATCTCGTAACCAGGCCGAGAGTACGTCTCGGCATTTAGGCGAGATGGTACACTTGCCTTCCAGCCTTGAGCCTATTAGGCGGAAAGGCTAGGGCGACAGTTCTTGGGCCATCTCGCAGCCTGGCCGAGAGTACGTCTCGGCAGTTAGCCGAGAAGGTACCTCGGGTCCCGACTGAGGCGGCGCGGCGCATGTTCTGGCAAGGTGTGTCTCTTCACCTTCTTGAGATGGGACATGCATTGATTGTAAAGGTGGCGTTGCAGAAGCGTGAATAAAGATGGTGCCACGTGGCGGCGCTTGTCACGAGATGTTAAATGTTTAAACGCCCCACGCGTGTTGTGGCTTTTGGGCGTACCTCCTCACGCGCGTTGTGACTCTTGGGTGTACCTCCTCACGCGCGTCGTGACTCTTGGGTGTACCCCCTCACGCGCGGCCCTTAGTCTCTATAAATAGAGATGGCCCCTTGTTCTTTCAAACCTTTTGCATTTTCCTCTTCACGCCCTTTTCTCCTCCGGCGGTGGTTTTCTTCTCCGCTTTAATCTACGGCGGCTCGCAGTGGTTTTGTGCTTGTTCTTAGTGGGTGGAGTTGTGAGAGAACCCTTTAGGTACGCATATATTTATTTCGCCTTTCTAGTGGTTTTTCTTGCAAGCCTTTAAGTTATAGGTTAAACAAAGATTATATTCGCAATGGCTGTTGTGGGGTATGGGGGGATGTATTAATGGGTTAAGGATGATGCATTAAAGTGTGATTCTTTGATTAATTCTTGGGAAGCCATGGACAGCTTTTGCAGAGACCATGTAGTCTGCCGTGACGGGGACGAAGTAGTTATGTGTGAACCTTGTGTCGATAAGGAACCAGTGTGTGTTAGTTCACCCTCAACTGAAAAATTTACATTTTGCTACACCACTCTTATTTCTAAAATTAGGGTGAGATGGCCCCTAACCCACTGTGAAAAGGGGGTACTTCGAGTTTTGGGTGTTGCCCCGACCCAACTACATCCCAATAGTTGGGCCTTTGTGCGAGTGTTTGAGATCTTGTGTGAGGGACTCGGTATAACCCCGACTACAGATAAGTTTTTCTATTTTTTTGAGAGTAGGGTTAGCAAACGTACTAGCTGGGTATCCGTTAGCGGGGTTTCGGGTCGGGGCTTGTTGTCCTTATTTCAATCGTCCTACAAAGATTTCAAAAAATCATTTTTCCGAGTGCGTAGTTTACCGGGTCACGAAGATGTGTTAGAAGGGTTCCCCTTGTACTGGAACCAGAAAACGATAGCCTTCGGTGGGCTAGATGCCGAGAAGCTTTCCGAGAGCGACCGGGTCGACGTTAAGAAAATTGAAGATTTGAAAACCTTTTTCAATACGGGGAAACTCCTAGACCTAGAGAGTAGGCCTCAGGAATTGAAAATTCACATTGGTATCCTGCTGTTTTAAGTTTAACAACTTCCTTCTTTGTTTGACGTCTTTTTCTTATTATGACTTGTTCGTTGATTGCCCTTTGCAGCAAGAATGGCTAGTCTGAGCAACCGGGAAATGATGAAACTCTGGAAACAACAAAAGGTTTCCCAAGCTGCTGCTGTTGGTGAGTCGGCTTCCGAGAAGGTTGCGGAGACCGGAAGTCCGGTGGTGAAGTCGAGAACTATTGGCGAGACCCCTCAAAAGCGCCGTCGCGAGGCCGATAAGTCGATATCGGTTGTTAACTTGGAGACGGTCGTGGCCGCCGAGATGGACAAAGGCGACACCGAAGTTCAATCGGCCGAGAGGACCCTGAGTGCCTGTCTCGGCGAGAATTGGGAGCTGGTGAACCATGGGGACGACCGTGGCAATGTTGTTTCTTTTTTGGGACGAGAAGTTCAACCACAGTGCTCACATTCGGGGAACCGACTTGCTAGAAGGCGACCGAGACGATTTGGAGAAGATGAGTGCTTTCACCATCACCAAGGGCGTCGAGTCACTTACCAATCGCCTCTCGGCTCTTTCGTTGGTCCACGAAGATAAAATTCGCAGCTTAGTGAGGGAGACTAAGTTGCAAGGAAAAAGGATCGTTTCCTTAGAGGAGGGTTTGAATAAGAGTAGAGCTGACTTCAAGTGGGTAGCCAACGAGCGAGACAAGTTGCTGGAGGGTCGTCGCATCTTCGAAGAAGAGAAGCAAGTTTGGGCTGCCGAGAAGGTTGCGATGGAGAGCGAGTTGGCCGAGATGCGCCTGGCCCGGGACAAGTCGGCCGATGCTGCGAATGTTTTTGAGAACGACTTGTCCTTGATGAAGCTTGAGGTGGAGAAACTCCAGAATGACCTTCAAGCCGCGAAGATGGACTCTTTGACGAAATTTGTTCAAGGCTTTGATGCGGCAACCTCTCAAATAAGATTTCTGTACGCCGATCTCGACATTGGGGGAATGGGCTACTTTAAGAAGATTGTGAATGGTGAACTGGTGGATCCTCCCGAGGATGACTGAGTGTTGCCTCATAATGATGCAATGTGAATCGTGTGAGATGCAGGGTCTTTTGGCCAGAAATCATCTGATGCCCTAATAACAGCAGAACGCTTTGCACTAAACAAGTAAATTCATAAAGAAAATCATTAGCATGAATAAATAAATCTAGAGTAATATAATAGAAGAATTCACATAAGTTGTGTAAATTGTATGCAATTCACACCTGTACAATCCATCTGTGTTGTGACTCATGCAACAAATGATTCCATTATCAGGGAAGTTTCTAGAGATTGATGCCTCTAATGCCTGGTGGTATTTCCTTGCAAGTTTCACCCTCCCACCATGTCCTGCTCCAAGAGTTTCAAGGATATTCTGAACATCAACTTTGACACCATCAATACCAGCGGATGCCAAATATGAATGGAGTTCATCATAAAAGTGAAAAACTTTCTCAGGATTCACTAGGCCAAGTCCATTCATGGCAATGGTTGTCAAAGCTTCATCTGGTTGATTCGAGTCAACTCCAGGAGATGAGACAGGGAAGGCCATCTTTGACTCATAGTGCTCCATACCTGAAACCCCGGGTTTAACACCACCCCAATATCTTGTTATTGCATGCCACACATATACGTACCTGTAAACTCAAGGGGTAAATTTTCCAAAGACCATGAGTACTTGTAAAGTATTATAACATCCGCTGGGTTTACCTGCAAAATACATTAAATTATCATGAAATAGAAGTCTGGTTGAAATTGTATTTCATATAAATATCCCCTCTGATGGAGATAAAACGCAAGAAAAAACATGTACACCAAAGTGTTCAAATTCAAATATGAAAACCATTGTCGTGTCATGCTAATATATTTTATACTTGCTCTATGCAATAATAATAATAATATAAAAAAAAAATCTTTAGCATGATTAAAAAATCAAAAATAGAAACCTATATCAATCTTGGCCTGTTCTATTAAGCATTTGACGAACGAGGAATAAAGTAATTAATAAAAAGTTGAAAATTCCATATACCCGTCTTGCTGGAAAAACATCACTCTTGTAACCCTTAAAGTCATACTTCGGAATATCTACTGCTTGGCCACGCTTCAACTTGTTCACGACGCAGCAAAGAAGCATGCGGAGTTCACAAGCTAAGAGGAAGAACACCCTTCTCTCCTTCCACCCAAAGATCTTTCAATTTTCCCACCCCTCCCGTCGCCACCCATTACTTTCATGCTTTCCGATCCCATCTTCTGCCCAAGGTTATCTCGCTTTCTCCTTCATTTCTTATCTGGGTTTTCTTCAAATTTCAATTTTTCTCTATGGGGTCATCTGTGTTGAGATGATGCTTTTAGGGTGAGCATGTGCCACACATGAGGAACTTTTCTAAGATGGTGTCTGCTGCGGCTCAACACAAGGAGGAGTTGAAGTTGCTTGTGAGTGGGGGTTCTCGAGCCCAGAAAGTGGTTGGTATATGGCTCTTTGGCTCTGCCGCATGGGTGTTCAACATGGTGGTGCTTGGGGGTTTTACTAGACTCACCCGATCTGGTCTTTCAATGACTGATTGGAAATTCACTGGTACTACAAACGGTAAACTGCAAACACCTCAGTGATTATATGCTGTTTTACATTTTTTCTTTTTCATTAACTTATGAAATCCATCAAGGGGCTTATTTTCTGGTAAAAAAAGAAATTAACACATGTAAATAAGCCTCTTGAAGTTGGCTGACTAATTGTTGAAGGTTAAAATCCAATCATAAAAATTAGATGATTGAATATTGAGGAATAATGACTCAAATAACTTGCTCTAACTTTATCATAAAATCAACAACACTTCCTACAACAAACACATTCTGAAACATCGAGTTCAAGGAGATGTAAAGAGAGTAGTAGAGCCAAAGGAGATTGGTAAAAAGGCTCTCGGTCTAATTGCTTGTATGCATCATTCTGCTGCATTCAATCATCTAATTTTTATGATTGGATTTTAACCTTCAACAATTAGTCAGCCAACTTCAAGAGGCTTATTTACATGTGTTAATTTCTTTTTTTACCAGAAAATAAGCCCCTTGATGGATTTCATAAGTTAATGAAAAAGAAAAAATGTAAAACAGCATATAATCACTGAGGTGTTTGCAGTTTACCGTTTGTAGTACCAGTGAATTTCCAATCAGTCATTGAAAGACCAGATCGGGTGAGTCTAGTAAAACCCCCAAGCACCACCATGTTGAACACCCATGCGGCAGAGCCAAAGAGCCATATACCAACCACTTTCTGGGCTCGAGAACCCCCACTCACAAGCAACTTCAACTCCTCCTTGTGTTGAGCCGCAGCAGACACCATCTTAGAAAAGTTCCTCATGTGTGGCACATGCTCACCCTAAAAGCATCATCTCAACACAGATGACCCCATAGAGAAAAATTGAAATTTGAAGAAAACCCAGATAAGAAATGAAGGAGAAAGCGAGATAACCTTGGGCAGAAGATGGGATCGGAAAGCATGAAAGTAATGGGTGGCGACGGGAGGGGTGGGAAAATTGAAAGATCTTTGGGTGGAAGGAGAGAAGGGTGTTCTTCCTCTTAGCTTGTGAACTCCGCATGCTTCTTTGCTGCGTCGTGAACAAGTTGAAGCGTGGCCAAGCAGTAGATATTCCGAAGTATGACTTTAAGGGTTACAAGAGTGATGTTTTTCCAGCAAGACGGGTATATGGAATTTTCAACTTTTTATTAATTACTTTATTCCTCGTTCGTCAAATGCTTAATAGAACAGGCCAAGATTGATATAGGTTTCTATTTTTGATTTTTTAATCATGCTAAAGATTTTTTTTTTATATTATTATTATTATTGCATAGAGCAAGTATAAAATATATTAGCATGACACGACAATGGTTTTCATATTTGAATTTGAACACTTTGGTGTACATGTTTTTTCTTGCGTTTTATCTCCATCAGAGGGGATATTTATATGAAATACAATTTCAACCAGACTTCTATTTCATGATACTTTAATGTATTTTGCAGGTAAACCCAGCGGATGTTATAATTTTGGAAGGGATCCTTGTTTTCCATGATCCACGAGTGCGGGCATTGATGAATATGAAGATATTTGTCGACACAGGTCCCTTATTATTTTAGTTCCAATATAACTGTTATAACTTACTGTATTGTATTTGTATGTTTTTTGCTGGCTCATGTTGATTTTCCTTTTAACCAAATGTTAAAATTTCCCCTTCCTAATCCACACATCATGGTATAGGAGAACGCAATATTCTTCACATTATCTAAAAATATGCTTGTTCTCGTTCACGTGTTAATGATACTATATCTTCATCTTTTTCCCCTATTTTTTTGTTGGTTTCTTTTTTATTTATAGTTGCCTGTGTCTTCCTTCTTGACATTGTGAATTGTTCAGTGCAGATGCTGATGTTCGTCTGGCTAGAAGAATTAAGCGTGATACTGCTGACAATGCTCGTGATATTGGAACTGTGCTAGATCAGGTAGCTACTGTCGGCCACACGGCCACACCATTTGCGCTTCCATTATCATATTTTGATCATCATTGGGTTTTTGGCCTTCACATTTCTTTCATGCACTGCATTTCTAGACATGGAAAAGTTATTTTAATTCATGTTGCTGAGAGACTGTTATGCAATTTCTTTGATTAGAAAACCTGTATTTAGTCAGTTTTTATGTAATTAAATCTTCAATGATCTGTTTTATGGTTATGATAATAAATCAAGCTAATATATTCCCTTTTTTTTCGTTTATCATATATTACTTGATGCAGTATTCTAAATATGTGAAGCCGGCTTTTGACGACTTTATTCTTCCCACCAAGAAATATGCTGATATCATTATACCCCGTGGAGGAGATAATCACGTGGCAATTGATTTGATTGTACAGCATATTCGCACGAAGCTTGGTCAACATGACTTGTGTAAAATATATCCTAACTTATATGTCATTCAATCTACTTTTCAGGTAACCCTTTCTTGTTATTGAACTTTTCAATCATCCCATCTTCCTCGTTCAGCTGGAGCCCCAAAATTTGATTTTGTTATTAAAAGTTGAATCAACACGATAATTGCTTCAATGCAGATACGGGGTATGCATACCCTGGTACGTGATTCTCAAACAACGAAACATGACTTTGTATTTTATTCAGACCGTTTAATTCGTTTGGTATGTAATGGGGTTCATTAGTTGCTTACTTAATTTTAGTGGTGGCATGGCATATTCTTGTAGCACTAATGGTCATATTTCTCTCGCTTGACCAGGTTGTAGAACACGGCCTAGGGCATCTTCCATTTACAGAAAAGCAAGTAACCACTTCAACTGGTAAGCTGTTGATTTTTGAATGCTGATTTCCTTGGCTTGGATTATATTTACCTCTATAGATGAATTATCAGACATTTCACTGGGAAGTGTTGTGGATGATGTGCATGGATTGGTGGGTAACTCTGATTTCTAAATTCCTGGCCGCTTCCGATCTTTCTTTATTCTCATGATTGCTTATTTATTTTGATACTTCTTGCTTACGTAAGAAGTAGTAGTTGGGTGGTATCGCTCGTGTTGCGAGCATATGTGCCAGTAATAGTGGACGAAGCCTTGTGCTAACCAACTAGAGCTATTAACCTTGGATGTGGGTAAGACATTGATTTGTCGAGTGTATTAAGAGGTTACAATTGGTGAAGTTTCTGAAAACTATAGTTGTAGTGATTGAATCCAAGAGGTTATGTGTTGAGCATTAGAGCTTTGAGCATTCTTGATGAAAGGTCAAAGTGTTGGTGATTTCCTTAAGTTTTGATACTTGCATATTAACCTAGTTAAGGGTTAGGTTGCATGAGGATTTTATTTCAGTTATAAGTCTTTTGTGCTGAAAAGCTTGGATATGAGTTTAAGGTGGAAAGAAGTGAGTTTGGAATGGTTGAGGTATTTTGTGGGATGTTAGTACACTATTGCTGTATGGTGTAGAGGATATTTTCATTGCAGTTTTTTTGTGGCAATATCAGTATAGTATTGATAGAGTTAGATTTTGCAGTCTTCATGAAAGTTGTAGCCTTGGAAATTATCTTTTTAATGGCACTGGAATCAGGTAAAATGAAGGTTTAGAACTTCAATTATAGTTGCTTTGGTAATCAGAAGTCTAGTTGTAAGCGCTGAATATATCTGTTGTGGTTTTTGAATTTTTTTTAGCTAAGAAGAGGATCTTTTTTAGAATCTCATGTCTTCATAATAGTTGTAGCTTATTCTCTTAGCTTTCTTTTGAGATAGGTTTGAGATCATTTGGATGAGTATAACTCTCTAGGTATCATTTTCCTTGACAGTTATTGATGGGATATGTATGCTATCATGATGTTTTTGAGTTATTAGGCAATGCAAGGATAAAAATGATTTTGTTATGATGTTCTGAGGTGTTGTCATGTGGATTGAAAGGTTGTTCAAGGTTGTATGATGCTATGTGGTAAAGTTAAGTTCATGCACATGCTATATGGTGTAAAATAGTGATAGATTCATATATATGCTTGGGAAGGATATATATGAAAGTTTAAATAGGTATTCTAATATGATTTGATATGCATGTATGTGGATATGAGAATAGATGACCTTATGGATCAATTAGTGAAGGTTTGTGTGTTTAGTGAGATTGACCTTAGAATGTGATATCATCATATTAGAGTTAATTGTAGGATTTCTAGGACATGGATTTTTTATATAGATTTGGAGTTGTATCTATTATTTTGAAAATAATTTGTAAACTCTTAAGTTTTACTTTCCAAGTTTTATTTTCAATCATTTTGGATATTGAAGAACATTTGTGAAGGTTTTTATGTGAACCCTTTTACCGACGTTGAAAATTTATTTGTTAGTTTTATTATTACAATATATGTGTTGGGGTAGTAAGGGTGTCACATTTAGTGGTATCAGAGCAGGTCGATCCAATCAACTGTGAGTTATGAGTCTACTATGCTTGCTTGGTAGATGAATGATGGATTAAATTGATTGTGAAACTTATTGATGTGCTAGTGTGATGATTGATTTTGTTTGTTGTCTATTTAATTATGTGTATTGTTTTCTTAAAATTTGGCTGATAGAGATGACATAGCTTAGATGATGCTATTTATGATTGTTTTTCTTTATTCTCATGATTGCTTATTTATTTTGATACTTCTTGCTTACGTAAGAAGTAGTAGTTGGGTGGTATCGCTCGTGTTGCGAGCATATGTGCCAGTAATAGTGGACGAAGCCTTGTGCTAACCAACTAGAGCTATTAACCTTGGATGTGGGTAAGACATTGATTTGTCGTTTTTCAAAGCTTGAACCATGTCTGCCTTCGTTGGAAAGTATGCAGGTAATCTCATCTCTTTTCTTCTTCTCTTGATATATTACCCATTCTTCTATCTCTACATCTCTTCATTGACGTACGATCGAGCTTGTCAAACATTCGACTTTACATTAATACTCATTCCAATGTATCATAGTATACTTGTTTGAATAAAAGTTGATAGTAGCTAGAAGTATTAATCTAAATAAGTAGTTAATTCTTCATCAACGGAGTCCAAATATAAGATTTCATGTCTAAGTAGTTCCGTCAACTTGATGCAATATTCTATATGTTCATAATTCTTGGTCTTTGGTTTTTCATACGTGATGTTATATATCCAGATGAGCTTATCAAGAATGCCAAGTACATATAGCCACACCTGGGAAGGGAATCTTGGCAGCAGATGAGAGCACTGGCACCATTGGAAAGCGTTTAGCCAGCATTAACGTAGAGAACATTGAGGCCAACCGCCAAGCCCTTCTCCAGCTTCTCTTCACCTCTCCAAACGCCCCCCAATACCTCTCCAGTGTCATCCTCTTTGAGGAAACTCTCTACCAGAAAACCAGTGATGGAAAGCCTTTTGTTGAGGTGCTTGAAGAGAACAATGTGATCCCATGCATCAAAGTGGACAAGGGTGTTGTTGAGTTGGCTGGCACAAATGGGGAAACCACCACACAAGGCTTTGACTCTCTTGGAGCTCGGTGCCAGCAGTACTACAAGGCCGGTGCACGCTTTGCCAAGTGTCGTGCAGTTCTCAAAATTGGCCCCAATGAGCCCTCTGAGCTTTCCATCCAGCAAAATGCACAGGGCTTGGCACGCTATGCCATCATTTGCCAGGAGAATGGCCTTGTGCCCATTGTTGAGCCTGAGATTCTCACTGATGGGGCTCATGACATTGTCAAATGTGCTGCTGTCTCTGAAACTGTGCTTGCAGCTGTTTACAAGGCACTCAATGAGCACCATGCCCTTCTTGAAGGAACCCTTCTCAAGCCAAACATGGTCACTCCTGGCTCAGATAGCCCAAAGGTAGAAACATTTTCAAAACAAAAATGATTCCTGAACACCCAACAATCTATTAAGAGTTATAAGATAGTCTGGTAGTTTAAAAAGAGATACGATGGAGTAACTTTGAATCCTCCGACTAACATAACACGTTAATTACTTACATTTGCCTATAAAAGAAAAGAAAAAAAACCAACTTAGGAAAGTATTGGGATGATAACCCATAAGTAATATGATATGATAGAAAAAGATATAGAAAAAAATGATGTGCGTTAATGTATAAAATGGTGAGAGATCAAATATCATTCCTCTAAATTATTAAGAGGGAATGAATTTAAGTATGTACACTGTTATTAACTTAGGAAACAAATTTCATTTGTGTGCAGGTAGCACCTGAGGTGATTGCTGAGTACACAGTTCAAGCACTCCGCAGGACTGTCCCAGCTGCGGTGCCAGGGATTGTGTTTCTGTCTGGTGGACAAAGTGAAGAGGAAGCTACGCTGAACCTGAATGCAATGAACAAGTTGGAGGTGTTGAAGCCATGGACTCTCTCATTCTCATTTGGGCGAGCACTGCAGCAAAGCACACTCAAGACATGGGGTGGAAAGAAGGAGAATATTGGCAAAGCTCAAGAGTCATTTCTGGCAAGATGCAAGGCCAATTCAGAGGCTACTCTGGGGAAGTATGTTGGTGGAAGTGGAACTGGCTTGGCTTCTGAGAGTTTGTATGTCAAGGACTACAAGTATTAGGCTTCTAAATGGACTTGGGGACTGATTTGGGGTGACTGCATTCTGGTATATATATATGTATGATACAGCCTAAGTAAGCATTTGCTTCTGATTAACATGCTTATTTTTGGGTTACATGTTTTTCAAATACTGGTTCGTGTTATAGGAGCTAATTTAATGTCAAATGATGATGGTGTACCACTAAAAAATAATTGTTAGATGAAGGCTGGTATATATATTGTCATAAACAGTAATATAGATAATTAAATGTGAATTCGTATAGTTAATTTTCTACAAATCATATATTGATACCTCAAAAGTAATAGTAATGTTTTGGTGGGTCACGAGTCATTAACCGGACAAGGAGATTCCACTAATCCCACTATTCATATGCTTTAATGGCCTCCATGCGAAGCGAATATGCTTAAACTAGTGTAAATGTGTGTGCTTCCAAGATTCTGGAATAAGACATGATTTTGAGATGTAAGGCTCACCACAATAAATTATGCAAGGGTACTTTTGAAATACTAGTTGATTCCACGTCGATGATCAATCTCTGACAAGTCCTTTTCTGCTTTTAACACATTTTAGCTTCTATCTTTTTAATGGCACTGGAATCAGGTAAAATGAAGGTTTAGAACTTCAATTATAGTTGCTTTGGTAATCAGAAGTCTAGTTGTAAGCGCTGAATATATCTGTTGTGGTTTTTGAATTTTTTTTAGCTAAGAAGAGGATCTTTTTTAGAATCTCATGTCTTCATAATAGTTGTAGCTTATTCTCTTAGCTTTCTTTTGAGATAGGTTTGAGATCATTTGGATGAGTATAACTCTCTAGGTATCATTTTCCTTGACAGTTATTGATGGGATATGTATGCTATCATGATGTTTTTGAGTTATTAGGCAATGCAAGGATAAAAATGATTTTGTTATGATGTTCTGAGGTGTTGTCATGTGGATTGAAAGGTTGTTCAAGGTTGTATGATGCTATGTGGTAAAGTTAAGTTCATGCACATGCTATATGGTGTAAAATAGTGATAGATTCATATATATGCTTGGGAAGGATATATATGAAAGTTTAAATAGGTATTCTAATATGATTTGATATGCATGTATGTGGATATGAGAATAGATGACCTTATGGATCAATTAGTGAAGGTTTGTGTGTTTAGTGAGATTGACCTTAGGATGTGATATCATCATATTAGAGTTAATTGTGAAGATATATCCAAGATAGATTTAGGCTAAATTATCTAAGTATGATTTTTGATTGTATGAGGTGAGTGTTCTAGGCCCTGTAATTTCTTGCGCAGATATAACGTAGATCTACCTAAGGTAGAAGTTGTGCTTAAGTGGGAGATACCAAAAGTCAATTAGTGAGGTTAGGAGTTTTATTGGGATAGTTTATAGGAAATTTATTGAGT